CACCCAGATCACTAGGCATTTTGGAGTGGAAAACCAAGTTTGCTCGATTAGATTGCTAGTCAAACTCAATAGTTGCTGCTCAACGGAATCCCTATACAGAATGCCAGCGGCCACCCATATCAATACATATTTTGGAGTGGACAACGAGGTTTACTCGATTAGATAGCTAGTCAAACTCAATGCTTGCTGCTTAACAAAGTCCCTAACGACCCACATCACCAAGTATTTTGGAGTGAAGAGCCAGGTTTATTCGATTAGATTGCTAGTCAAACTCGATGCTTGCTGCTTAACGGAGTCCCCATACCAAACACTGGTGACCACCTATATAAATACGCATTTTGGAGCAGAACACCAGAGTTACTCGATTAGATTGCTAGTCACATTCGATGGTTGCTGCTCAACGGAGACCCCATACCAAACACTGGTGACCACCCACATCACGAGGCATTTTGGAGTGAAGAACCAGGTTTGCTCGATTAGATTGCTAGTCAAACTCAATACTTTTGAAGAGTCTTCGTACATCCCGACAGTCTCAAACCCACCACCGTAGGATCTATCTCATTCCATTCTGTGCCCGTGACCATCCTGTTTTTTTCGAGCTGCGAACAAAACGAAGGCAAAACACATTACATTAATGGAAACAAGCAGACAAGCAGCAACACTAGAATCAAGGCATAAAAGCAGAAACCCAGCAGGACGTAAAACAACGCATATTGCCCTCCCGTGCCGCGGTGCCGCGGTGCCAGGAGACCTGACGGTCCGGGCAAGGGAGCTCCGCTATTCGGAGGCAATAGAAAGAAGGGCAAAATTTACAAGACAATCTGTACAAAGAAGTAGAAAAAAGAAAAAAACAACGAAAACGTTGGCCGGCCCCTCCACCAATGCCGCCGGTGACCTTGTTGGTCTGTTGCTGTTTGGTTGATGCCATGCGCCGTATCATGCCAGTTCCATGCCATACCATGTCATGTCCCATGCGCCACACCCATGACCAGTCTTTATCTCGACCGTGATGCGCCACACGCCAATAAAGAGGGACAGGAGAAAAAGAAAGAGAACAAGAAGAAGAGAAATGATGCATGCCACCCAAACCGCCCAGCCGAGAAGTATGAGAGAAATAATCCCCCAATCTAGATCCGACCCATGCATCGCCTTGCCCGAAGCCAATCCCGTCCTAATTATCTCATCACCGCCCATTCCTTTTTCCCATCCTGCCCTGTTTGTCAAACGCCGTCCCAGAGAAGTGAGAGAGACCAGACGAACCCAAACCAAAATCCGAGAGAACCAGTGTTCCGAAGGCCGGCTTTGTCCGGTTGGTTGGTGTTGGTTGTCTGTCGGTCGATTATAAAATAAGTATGCTGCTGTTCGAAAAGAAGAATGCCAGAACGCCAGGATTGTGCTGCAGTGCGCCCCGTTGCCGTTGCCGTTGCTTCGTTGTAATCCGTGACCCATGGATCTTTGTGATCCCGCCTTGTGGAAGGGCGGGTATTAACCTTTGGGTGTTGTTTGGAGAATGAAAAAAATGAGGGGACTTGGTGAAAAGAGATGGCTGGTAGATCAAGCCGGGCCAAGAAAGAAGTGAACGCTGTGTTTTGATGATTTTTTTGTGTTTTTCTTCTTTTTTTTTTGTAGAGAGAGGGCCTAGCGACCGGGGGGAGGATAGCCATAATAGCCACCGTAGCCTTGCGAGGGGTCGTAGCCGTCGGGGGGATATGAGGGCTCGTAGTCCTCGGGGGGATGTGAGGGGTCATCGCCGTCGGTGAAATGTGAGGGTTGGCCGGCGACGAGAGAGTTGAGGGGAGGAAGGCCGGACGTGGAAGGCGGCGTCCTGCCGTTGCGGATGGGGATGTGGGCAGTGGGACCGGTGGCCAAGCGCCGGATGTTATTGGCGCCGGGGCCGGGGCCGAAGGGGCTCTGGTTCTGGTACTGGACCGGGGCGCCGTACATCTCGTTGGTGCGGTTGGGCGCGGCGTACAGGCCATCGGAGTGGCTGGTCGCGGGGTACATCTCTTCGGCGCGGTTGGGCAGGGCGCGCATGGTGTCCTGCAGGCGCTCGGGGCCACCCATCCCCAGTGAAGCCCGCGCGGGGGTGCTCAGCACGGGGGTGCTCGCAGTGCGGGAGTGCCTAACTCCGCTGTTCTGGGGCATGCCGGGCTGGGGGCTGCTATAGGCCGGGTACTGCTCCCGTCCACCCAGTTGGCCGTACGCCGGCTGCTGCGGCTGCTGTTGCTGCTGCTGTTGCTGCTGCTCCTGCTGCTGCTGGCGCTCCAAGATGCGCTGGTGGCGTTGCTGGCGCTCATGGTAGTCGGGCGTCCAGTACCCGTTTTGCGGCTCGGCGGTTTGACCCACCAGGTACTCATTGTCCTGGTGGTAACGGCCGAACCGGTTCAGGGACGGCAGCGAGGCGTAGGCAGGGGCGGCTGGTGTGCCACCCGGGAACTGGTTGGCTCCCATCGACGAAGACCGATGATGGGAGCTGTGGCCACCAGGGTAGTGGTGCCACGAGGGGACGGGGTAAGACCCGCCGGGAGGGCCAAGGGGGTTGGCGGGACCCGACGGGGTGGGGGCCCCGTACAGGTTTGGGGGGAACGCGTATGGGCCCCCTTGGTTGGCCGGCTCAGGCCGGCGGGCCTCGTCGCTCACGCGCCGCCGCTTGTTCCTAGCAGCAGCGGCAGGCTTCTTGGCGGCGGCCCCGTTCCCCGACTTGGCCCGGTTGGTCTTCCGCCTCGCCTGTTCGCCCGTGATGTTGGGCAACAACTCGATGTCCGGGAAGTAGTTCAAGTTGTTGACCTCCAAGTCAGAGGCGATGCGGGCGAGAATGCTCTGCAGCTCGGCAGCCGTCTTTCCCATGCCCACAAGGGCCAGGAGCCAATCTGGCACCGTGCCGCTGGGGAGAGGGGGCGGGGCATTGGGGTCGGCATTGGGGCCCCCAGTAGGCGAGGTGGAGGGGCTAACGGGCTCCTCGCTAGCGCCCTCCTCGCCGTCTGCCTTGCGCTTGCGATCCTCCTCCTCCATCTCTTGCTGCCGGCGGCGACGGACCACCAGCGACCAGTCTGCCACGATGCCGTTCTCAGGCTGGCCCGAATCGAAGTTCCTGTTGCTCCAGGCCTCGATGCGCAGGATCTGCATCTCGATGATGCGGGTGATCATGATGCTGTACTCGCGGGAGTTGCGATACCGGGCGCGCTGGTAGTGCTTCCTGCAAGTCCATATCCAGACCCCGTCGGGAATGCTCCGTGTGCAGCTCTTGTTGCGGCCGAATATGTGGGAGATTGACTTGCGCCAGGGAGGCAGCCGGGGGTCGACGCCTCTCGTGATGTTGCAATCCTCCATGAACTTGCACACACGGGGTCTTGTGAAGTCAAGCTCCTCCATCAAGGCAGCCGTGGTCGGATATAGGCGGGGGACGGCTGAGCTGATGAGGCGAGGATCCAGCCGCAACGGAGGGGCGCCATTGGGGTGGTAGCCGGGTGTGGCATGGAAGATGGGGGGTTGTGAGGGCCCTGAAGCCGGGCCAGACACATTGGGTGGGCGGATGGTATTTGAGTTCTCGCTGCCGCTGGCGATAACAATGGGTGCAGCGGGATGGCCCGGCTCATGAGTACTGGGCAGCGGGCCGGCGGTGGTGGCAATGCCGGTGGAGGAGAATGGAGACCCATTTGAGGCAGAGGCGGTCTCCGATGAGAGGGAACTAGTGGTATTGTTAGTCAAGTTCGGATGAGCTGATGATGAAACAAGTGGTGTATATCAGATGCTGTCACATGGTGTGGTGGGGTCAAGGGTGAGGGACGAGTAAGAAGGACCCTGTTGTAACAGAAGAAGAAATAAGTGGCCTCGTTGGGGACCTGAGGGGGGAAGAAATCGTGATGAGGTGTGATGCCATCTGATTGGGGAGGAGGGAGCAACTGTGCATGTGCAATTCAATGAACTCCCCCCCTTCTTTTTTTTTTCTTTCTTTTTTTTTTGTGTGCGTGTGACTTGAATTGAATTGTGTGACAGGCGCAGTAGACACCAAGTGATGTGTTCTCCCTTTGTTCGACCCTTGGCCATCCGGACTCACATCACCCCACATTCGGTGTGGTGAGTGACCTGGAGCTGGGTTGTGCCCCATGCCCAAAAAGGGTTAGGAAGGGTGGGGGTGGGGCCTGTGGAGTCGCGCACTTGCGGGACTTGCCGAGCCCTTGGCCAGCGATCATGTGAAATTCGCGACACCAAAGAATGAACGCGATCTGAACTCTGGCGATCTGAATTTTCGAGCCTTTTGAGAAAAGCATCGTCTTCAGATCGTAGAGATAAGCATTTGCAAAAGGACGACTGTAGCATTCAGGGGTGATTTCTGACTTCAGACTTCCTCGACCACAGCCAAAGGGGTACAAAAATACAGGAAATGCCAGGAGTGAACACGGACAGACCGTCCATAATGCCGATGGTGATGATGGGTGCTTTGTGACTGGGGATTTTTTATTGAGGCAGGTGAAAAATAACTTACTTAGGTGATGGAAAAGTGAACCTAGAAGCCGTAGGAACAGCACCAGTCGCAGGCGCAACCGCAACATCAGCAGTGCGACTGATCAGTGGCATCGCAGCATTGCTGGGTGACTCTGTTGTGAGATCGATCGCATCTTGATTGCTGGCAAATTGACTGGCGTGGTGCTGAGGGTGATTCTGAGGGTGATTCTGAGGGTGGCTCTGAGGGTAGCTCTGAGGGTGGTCCTCGCCATCTGGAGTGGTCGGCCTACTGGCCTGGTTGTCCGCCATATCGGCCATCTTGTTGCAGTTATCGTAATAAAGGTGGGCTGGAAAGCTGCCCGTTAAAGAATGCGCTGAGGGTGGTGTTGGAGGATTTCTCGACTGTGAAGCCGTGGTTGACTGAGAAGCGTTTCGCGAGTGCGAAGGAGTTTGAAGTTGGGGTGTGGAAGAATTGAAAGACGATTCGGAGCCCTGGGAGCTGGAGTATTTATGCCCGTTCGTGCTGCTGCTAATTGAAGCCCGCCTGCTGGCCGAAGAAGATGGGATGATAGCATTTCGCTGTGAATCAGCCTTTTCCTCCTCTGGCCCATTCAACAAATGGCTGAATCCCGTGGGGCCAGACATTGTGACTCCACTTGTTGGCCAACAACAGCTTTGATCGAGATGAGATAGAAGATCGAGGCGATTATTGCGGCACCAAATTTCCGAATGTCGTCAGAGCTAAGGGCCGCGTGTCAAAGATCAGAGCCACAAAATTGGGGGGCTGGAGAGAAGGCGAATGGAGAATCGAGATCGGCCCAGGTACAATCGGAACAACCCAGAATATCTCCGGAACAATCTGGGCCCAGACCAGAACGACCTAGGTGATAATGGCCGTTATGGCCAGAACCATGTGAATTATGTCAGAGCCGGCAGCAACTAGCCCAAAGAACCTCAAATATTGGTGGCACTAGCGATGGGTGGGGAGGATGGGAGGCAAGAAAAGAAAAGGTAAGGCGGACGATGATGTTGACCTTTAGGTCATTCTTGGTGGACTTGGTTCGGGATGTATTCAGAAAGACAACCCAACATAGTCGGAGTGTCGTCAGCCAGAAGCTGAGAAACAAAGAAACAAATCAGGAGGATGAGCCCCAAAAAGACGGGATGGTCTTAAGAATGCCGCGCTCGCCCCAGAGCATGAATCGAGGCACAGTCTGGAAACAGTGCGTGTCTGAGCTCAGGCAGTCGAGGCAGTCGAATCCACAGGGGCACACCCTGGACAACCGTCGTCCGTTGAAGCCGGTGTGGCTCTAGAGGAGGGGGTGCCATGTCAAAGCGGCGGGAGGGGGTGAGGGAGGATCGGTCGATTCCGGGCGGGACCGTGGTGGAGAATGGATTAGAAGGATTGCTTGAACTGCACTAACGGCGAAGAATCGGATCGTCCTGTTCAACCCAGATGAGCACGCGCAGGGTGAGTTTAAGCGTTGGCCACGGGGCCTCGCTGACGAAGACTTGGGATAGTCAAAGACAAAGGGAAACTTGTACAACAATCTCGGAGTATAGTCATACAGACTCTTTCCACCCACGAGGGCAAATGGCGTGGTCTTGGGTTTGGAGTGGGGAGGGGGAGGGTGACGTGGTTGAGAGCAAGATGCAGCTCTGCAGCTCTGCAGCTTTGCAGCTTTGCAACTCTGCAGCTCTGGGTGCACGGGGGGAACAGCTCTGCAGCTCCCGGTCCATCTTCGGAAACAAGAGAACAGAGAGAAATCCCGATCAGAGAGCCACCCAGGCCCAACCGAACTCACAACTGAACCCGGAAAGGTCTCCGTAGGGATTCGTACAGTGGTAACCTTAGGCCAAGTCCTAGCACGGAATCCACCACTGCCTCTGCAGTTTTTTGGATGCGGCGTAGCACGCCGTGAGGATCTGCGCCCTGAAACCACTCTGGGAAAACGCCGTGTTTGGCGGAGGCGATTGTGGGTTGTTGCGAACAGACAGGGGTGTGTCAATCAAGGGGTGTCAGATCGATGGTGAATGCAACGCCCCAGGATTGTCGCCTGCTATCACGCCGATGTCATCGCAATCGTCGAATCGGAACTCCTACCCGATCTGCTCCGAAGTATGACAATTCGGTCCCGGCTCTGATCGATCCTGTTGACCATATCTGGTCTGGGGTTGTGGTTTTTTGGGGAGATTGTCTTTTTCTTTTATCGATGGTGACTACCAGTTTGTATCATCTCAAACATGATGTTCCAGCCGGCAAGCAAGGGTCAGCATTTGGAGTGCAGGCAGATCGCACAACAGCTCTTGGCAAGGGACTTAGCCCCACAATTAGTAGGTCAGCAGCGAATAGAACAGCGAGTAGAACAGAGCTGGAGAAACGATCTGCGTACGGGAGCATGCAGCATGCACATGCATCCAACGTGGAGCACACCAAGCCTCGAAAATGTACTGCCAACTCCTGCTTGTGGACTTTGAGGGCGGGTATTGAGTGCGCCTATTGTGATTTTAACGTCACAAACCGTAGTGCCAAATGGGCATTTACTCTAGTGCAAACTTACATTCTCAATAACGTCATCAAGCCGTTTGTCTGCACGTCATTGACCATGCCAACCAAACTGAGACCCTCGTATGTAAATTACTCATGTCAAGGACCGAAGTACCTGTATGTACGAATAGCCGTTGTACCGGAGAGTACCTGCCATTCTGACTCAGCCCGCAAGGGTTCTATTGTTGCAGGGCTTCACACGTTTCAGAGGCAGAAAGAGCTTTGGGGTTGGGGGGCAGTGTGCTTGGCGCTTGGCATCAGGTTTTCCTATTTTGGTTGATCCATTTCGGCCATTTTCTGATTTTCAGTGCATTCGAGAACCGGGTAAGTCTCTCATTAAGCCCCGCCAATCCATTCTCAGTCCTCGGTTGGTTATGGTTGTGGTTATCGGCTGCAAGCGTGGTTACAAGAACCCGCCGTATTTCTGTATTTTGAACAGTCTGTCCGGAACCTGGGATATCCGATGTGACTAACCGTGCGCTTGCCGCGCTGTTCCGAAAACTTGGGATACACCAGAGAGCAAGCATTCGCTGGCAGCTCGTCTCGTTTCCATGCAGGAAACGCAATGAGCCTTCCAGTGTTTATTCTAACCCAATGCAAAGCGGGTTCAACCCGATCGGCACCAGACGGAGCCCATTAACACTCCACCCTACTTTGTACCAAGTACCCGACAGCATCGGCGAGAAACGAGATCGCCAAGATAAAAAACAAAACACCTCGAAGCACCTCTGTTTTATACGCCTTCTTCCTTCCCATCAGCCGATCTCGGGTTTCAACCAAAAGTCTTGCTTGACATGGAACACCATCTTCGCCCATTTCCGCTTATCTTCGCTCCAATTAATGGTTGGCAATGAAGAATGGTGTTTGCCATTTGAGCCTCCGCCACGCCGATTCAGCGCACACCTGTTTTCCATTGTCGCCGCACTCGCTCTTCGAGCACTGTTCAAGCCCTGTTCAACCCCTCTTCCATCGATGATCGATCCCGGCCGGCAAGCCACCGAACAGCAAACCAATCGAAATGTCACTCCAAGCTGGCGGTCGTGCCGGTCGGTAAACGCTTGGTACGAGGCCGGTCGGGCCAGCGAGAATCATCGGCAAACTTTATTCCACATCGCATCCGAGCGGCGCCTCGTCCCCGGGTCCCCGTCCCGAGAGCATGCTGGATGCGACGACCCCAAGGGTTGCAATGTTCTGTAATACCGCTGCCTGCTGACGGCACTAGTGCACCCATACAGCGCTGATGCATCTGTCTCATCCTTTCCGAGCGGGCACGCAAGATCGGGACGCTGTCAAAAAATAGCCACGGGGATCGTGGGGCCGGTTCAGACGACGGCGGCGGGCCAGCGGCGCGGTCGCTTACCGGGACCTTGGGCGCTCGGCATGGGGAGACAAGCTCGTGGAGGCTGTGTCTTGCTTTACGCTGATTACTCCCAGATTGATCTCTACTTCGTACGAATATCACCCTCAGATTCGACTTGCCAGTTCTTTACCACAAATGATTGGCATTCAGTTCAACAACAATCCCTGAAAATACCGGGTCGACGGACGCGGTAACGCCAAACGGCTGACCTGGGAAGAGAAAGGCTGTTGGTGCTTCTGTGCCGCCTCTTTTGCCGTCCTATCTCCCCCTCCCCTTCCTTATTCCTTCAACAGCCATCTCTCACAAAACAACTCAACTCTATCGATCCATCCGCGATGCAGACCAGCCCAGCCGAATGATGATACCATCAAACACCCACTCAAGACCCCGGTATCCCGCTAGGCACCGATACATCCCATACCCGTGGGAGGAGCCGCGCCGCAAGTGTGGAAATACCTGTTGCTGTCCCACAGTCTCACATTGATGGGAACCTGGCGGCACCATCGCGGCACAGCCGTTTTGATATGTTCGTTAAAATACACTGGACCCCTGCGGCGCGGGATGGGATGGCAAGGATGGATGCAACCCTCCGCTCGATCGGCGCCGCCAAGCCTTGCCGCACTTTACTGTTCCAGGTAACCTGATTTCCTTTTTCGTCACTTATACGCCTCAATCGCCAAACACTGTGGTGTGGTTGCTTGGTTGCCAATGGCACTGGGAAGCGTCGGAGAACTAATGGCGCTGTAAAACACAAGGACGAGCCAATTGCCCGACTGCAGCGATGCTGGTGTGAATCCGTTTCAGACTTATTTCTGCACGAGCAATGAGCTTCCCCTCAAAGTTGTGACGACGAGACGGTTTGGCCGCCTCATCCCACGGGCCGATCGACCGGGCCCTGGTTCGTCTCTCTTTATTTTTCTCTCTCCGACTCTTACTATTTCCCGCCCGAACCGGCCCGGCCAGGTACGCCGGGACCTAGCTATTTTGTTCCGCTAAAAGTTCCACCGTTGGGGGCTGCAGGAGCCACTTTCGGGGAAGGGAGTGCATCGTCCGGTATCCTGCCATCAGACGTGTCGGCGCCTGCAACTCTAGCGGCCCCCAATTTCTGAATCCCGTGCATGCAGGAACCAGCCCCGGATGGCCCCCAACTAGGGAATTATAATGGCTGGGACCGGATTCGAGTCCCTCCGGATGGTCGATGACAGATGGATTCGTCTTCTTGCCCGGCCCCGAAATCTCCAGGTAACGCAGCCTCTTGCCGTTAAACTCCTACCCGGGAAGAAGCGTAGCTATATTGCTTGTAAACTCACAGGTGGAATATCAAGGCTCTGGGAAAACAATTGGTATGCCGTCTCACGGAGCCCGCCGACGTGCATTCCCTTCCGAGCCTTGCCAGCAGTTTCGGGCATTGAAAGGAGCTCGTGGTGTGTGTGTGTCCGTCGGCGAAACCAAAGGAATAAACCCACGGCTTGTGGGGGCCGCCGAGAAAACCACAAGCAGCCTTGTCCACCCTCCCCACCCATCGTGGCTGGCTCCGGAGCGTCGAGTAGGTACAAAGGACTGGAGCAACCAACAGACGGAAACCCCTCAAAATCCCAGCTTCGTCGTCTGGTCTGATTCCGCTCCCGCCTCCGCCTCATGTTTCGCTTTGCGCGTGTGCTATCCGCTGTGCTGCCCTTGCCTCCCCGCGTGGAACCAAACCATGCTCTTTCTCCTCCACTGGTGTTGGTGTGGTGATGGTAGCATGGGTAAGGGCAGGGCAGGGCAGGGCTAGACCGACATCTCCGGCTGCAGCGGGTTGCCCATAAATAGATGGATAGCCTTTTCTTCTTGGAAAAGGAGGCACCCCATACCATTCTGGAGTATAGGCCTACCAAAGTCGTGCATGCGTCTATTCCATTCTCTATGCCACCTCCCAGCGAGCAATCCGACAAAAGGCCATCACATCACAAAACGCCAACCCTGAAACAACTAACTAAAGCATTCCAGAATTTCGAACCCCCCCCAAACGGGCGAGGCTGATCCAATCCCCCCTCCACTTCCCCCCGCGGCTGAAGAGGCGGAGGGTTTTACCTTTTGAGAATGGATGGTCTGGGGTGGTGGTGCAAGTGTCACCCCCCTCGAGCGGGCGATGCAGGTTGTGTTACACGACGAGTCTAGGCTGGGCGGTCGAGACGGGACTTGGCTGGTAGCCGAGGGGTTGTTGTTCTTGTTGTCGTGATGGTGAGTTGGGCCTCTCCGTTTAGGTGAGGTAAGGTAGGGTAAGGGGGTGCGGGTTCGGGAGCGTGGTCTTGCTGGGAGGTGGTGGGCTGTGTTACTGTTACTTGTGATGTGCGTGGAAGGGGTGATAGTAGATGTGGGGTTAAGGAAAGGGAGAGGGGGCCTCGCGGGTGTTTCTCGCGGTTGTGGCTGGTGGTACTGAAACGTTTTTGGGGTATGCCCGCGGCATGTTGGCCTGTGATGATGGTCTTGTGTGTTTTGCTGTGCTATGCTGTGTTGCGACTGTTGGGACGGCGTCATCCGAAACTAAAGGAATATGCCATGCCAGGTCCGTATGTACATGATGCAAGGCCCCTCGCCTGACCTGCTCCGATGCCGGGAGGGTATTTCAAGAGGCTTTTGTGGCCTAACATAGGCTAACAAGCAGCTCATCCCGTTGGTGACGTGGAGGTGCGTCACTCAGACTGTCATGTTGCGTATCCCGGCTCCTGGCTGCACGGCATTTCGTGTGTAATACTTGGGGCATCGGATGAGGAGAGAGGGTGCTGAACCCGGGTGTTGTGTTCAGGGGTCAATTCCACCGACCCGGTTTCCCTCAAGCCCGAGTTGCTCTTGATCGGTTAGTACGACTTTTGTGTATCCACAAGGACAGCACGAGGACTAGATAGCGTTGTGCGAAGGTGGCCGCAAGTTGTACGAGTGCCCATCGTGGCCCTCGAGCAAGCCGCTTTCGGCGCGCTAGTTCAGACGGTCATTTGCAAGCAGCGGAAGTCTGATGCGAGAGAAATCCCCAAACGCTATCCCGACGTGAGACGGAATATCAGCAGCGGTTAGGTTAGGACACGTCTCATGTCCTCTCTCTCCCTCGAATCATCGTGTCGGATTCTTACATTCTGACATGCCCGACCGGATGAACATGGCCCTCACATGCATGAAACAGCATGGTTCAAGTTCCAGGCCGCCAAAATAAGTCGCTATCAGAATTCCATGGCTTTACCACGCCGTCTGTTGGTTGTTTAGCGTGCCTCGGCCTGTGGTCCGAGGGTGCTGCGGCGAGTGATCAGTCCACGCCTCTGTAAGCAGGAGGATTCGGGTCCACATGAACCGTCGCACGACAAATACGACGGACACAAGGTGCTGACAACAAAGCACGAAATTAGATGACCACAAATGTTCGTCTCAAATTCCACATTTCTGGTGTTCTGGGAGTTGCCGTCGGTGTGGCTGTGGGTGTCGTTGTGGGTGTTGCGGTGGGATGAGAGTTAAGACCAAGATAAACAAGACGACATAACCATGATTACAAAAGTAAACAAGACGATTAGTACGCATCTATAACCTCAATCATATCTAATTTCCTAGACTTCTCGCAATCACAGACTAAACAAGAAGCCAACCCAGCAAAATGAACACCCCCTATATACAAAAACCCCATTTCCACCCCCCTTTCCCTCTCTCCAACACCACCCAAAACAAGCCACTCCCATCAACTGTCCCTCACCCATTCATACCCAATACACACCACCTAATGGAACTGATCCTCCGTAACGCCCCTCCCCATCGCCGCGGTAGAACTCACCCCACCGGTAACCATCTTCTGCAGCTCATCGACGTAGGTAGCGCCGCTCCACTTCTGATGCTTGACAACGTCGACGCCCAGCTCCATCTCGGGTTCCTGGACGAGCTCGCCGTAGGCGCGCATGCCCTGCTGGCTGTAGGCGCGGGCGAAGCGGTCGCTGATGAGCGCCGTGGTGTGCAGGCCGGCGAGGGTGATGAACTGCCAGCAGTAGCCGAGGGTGGCGAGGCGTCGGATGTAGGTCTCCTGCTCGGCGCGCGGCATGGCCGTCTTCCAGTTGAAGGAGGGCGAGAGGTTGTAGGCGAGTCTGGGAGAAGGAGGTTAGTGGTTGGGGGGTCGATAAAGGGAGGGGGGAAGAAAAGGGGTAAACTGACTTTTGCTCGGGCCACACGGCGTGCACACCGCGCGCAAACTCCTCGGCCTGCTTGAAATCCGGCAGCTTGCTCTCCATCCAGATGGCGTCACAGTACGGCGCGTAAGCAATGGCGCGGTTGACAGAGCAGTCGCAACCGCCCTTGAGACGGTAGTAGCCCTCCCTAGTACGCGGGGCGTCCCAATCAAAGTGGACGTCCTTACCCAGGATGCCGCGGGCGACGGCGCGGGCCTCGGCGTTAGACAACTGCTTGCCTTGGATGGCGCTCCGGTATTGGTCGGCTAGACCCTTTGCGTTGGCGGAGCCGGAGGCGGCGATGGCGTCGAGCACAGCGTCGTCGAAGCGCTTGAGGTTAGCCTGGGCGAGCCACTTGTCCTCGATGGCCTGCAGAGCGTCGCCCGACTTGCCGGCGCGCTCGGCGGCCACCATCAGGTCGTTTAGCGGCTGTAGGTTGGGGTTGGTGCTGCCGAGGATGAAGGCGTGGTCGCGCGGATCGATGGTGGTGGTGATGAGGGTGGCGGCCTCGGCGTCAGTGCGCGCGATGGCGAGGAGGTCGGAGCCTAGGCGCGGGGTATAATGTCAGGATGCTGATACTCTTCAAAGCAACCGATAAGAGTCTGCTAACTAACCCATGATATCGGCCTGGGCGCGGATGGCTACGAGGCGGTTGATGTGCTCCGAGATGGGCACCAGAACCTTACCGGCCATGTGGCCGCACTTCTTGGTACCGGGTGCCTGGTCTTCGATGTGGATGCCGGCGGCGCCCTTCTCGATGAAGAGCTTGGTCAGCTTCATAACAGCGGTCAGGCCGCCGTGGCCCGTGTCGGCGTCGGCGATGATGGGGCGCAGGTAGTCGATGTTGGCGAGCTTAGTGCGCTGGGCTTTGGGAACCGACAGACGCTCCTGGCGCTGCTTGCGGTCGTGGAAGAGCTGAGCCATGAACAGGTGGCCGACCTTGTTCGGAACGGTGGTCTAATGCGGTCAGCACCTGTTTTTCGTCTTATGAGTCCCTCCTCTTTTTCCTTTCACTCACGTAGGGGTAATCTGCGAGATCCGGGCCAGGCTCGTCAGACGAAGAGGCGGTAGACGACGATTGCCAACCCGAGACGTAGACGGTGTCGAGATACTTGGCCATCTGAGTGACGGCGGTGGGCTCCAAGCAGCCGTAGGTGTAGCTAGCATCCTTGGTCTGTCACAATCCGAGTTAGCCATCGATTCTGCAATTTCATGAGGTTTGCTTGGGCTGTCTCGGTCACGTACCTGGAAACGGTTTTCGAGGATATTCCACAGCTTCTTGCTCTGGGCATTGCTGGCGTACTCAATTTTGAGGTTGCCACGCTTGCTGGCAATCTGCTCGGCAGTGAAGGGCCGCTTGGTGTACCGCCACCTCGGATCGCTCCACCACTTCTTGATCTGGTCGACCTCGAGGGCGAAGAGCTCGTCTTCCCGGTTGGGATCCACGGCGGGATTCACCATGTTGTTGGCGGCCATGGTGGGTCAGATACGGAGAGATAAAAATTAATGTGAAAGATGAGGAGGAAGGAATGTGAGTAGGCAGGCAGTTAGGAAAGGGATGGGTATCAAGATGACGGAATCGAGATGTGGCAACAACCAGCAAAGAGAGAAAGGAGGGGGAGGATAGAAGAGGAAAGAAAAAGTAAAATCCGAGACAATATCCTAACCTGTGACTCGTGACTAAGATGGGGTTTGGCTTGAGAAACAAGAACCGGAACCGCCTAGGCTCGACCGGGTGAGTCTCCGGTCGGCAGCATGTCCGGCCTCTTTGCCTAGGTAGGGAGGGATGGGGATGGGGGATGGGCGTGGCATCTCGGGACAGATCGGTCTAGCGGCTATTCCATTCCCCACGTTTCCGAGACTTTGGTACATGTATACTATACACCTTGGTTGATGATTGCCAGCCTGCTTTATTACGGCAGGAGCCTTTCACTTTCATCGCTTGATCAAGTTAGTGGTATTTACCAAACAGGTACCTGACCATACAATACATAAGGTACCTCGTCTTTACCACTATCATCATAATTATCACCTTTTTTTTTCTGTTGTGGTTAGTTCAGACTCGAGTCGTGATCACAGCCAAAGACCGTGCAAAAAAAGAGATCGCATCGATCGAGTCATCAAAGTACAGGGGGGTTCAACTGATGTGCCTTGGTCCTTTGAACCGAGCTTCACTATTGATGAACCCCGCTGGTATGTAATTCGCAGGGCTGGCAGCATTCGCCGCCCTCGGCCCACAGTGCCTGTTGACCGAATTGCCGAGCCCAGCCGGGGCAGCAACGGCAGGTCTCTTTCTTGCCTGCAGCAACCTCCTTGTCTCCCGCTGTGGGGGAGGGGCAGCACCTCAAATGCCAATTGGGAGATCTGCGCGCCTTGGACAATGGGCGTCAGGAATGGGTGCAGGAATGGGTGAAAGGAAAGGAGAAAAGGAATCGATAGTTAATACGATTATTTTTACTGGAGAGAACGATGTTGGAAGCAAGAAGCTAGTTCTGATAATTGTCTCCTTAGCCATGCCATAAAACCGCCTCGTATCTTTCATCCAATGTTTCTGCTGCAATGTAGGTAAGGTACCTAGTTTGGTAAGACGTGACTCCTTCAGATGGGTAGGTACGAATACTGCTTGTATTCCGACTCTCTGCTCTCGTCGCTTTGGATGACATGTGATGCTTGCGTCATAGGTAGACGTCCATGCTCGCCAAGGGTCCATTGTCCGTTTAGCCCACTTTTGCGGCCACCCCTTTTGCGCCAATAATTTCTGGCGTGATTGGCCTCCTTTGGCCGCTTCAACCTCGGCCAACTTGGGGACTTGGCTGCCACTGGTCCTCCGTAACCACCCAATTGGTTTCCAGAAGCCGAATTGTGAGTTTGGAACATCCCTCCTGTGTACCTAACCTAAATTGGCCTGTCAGCCTGTGCATACAATGGGTGCGACAACATGTGGGGAGGCCATGGAGCAGGGAGAGTGGAGCTTGGAGCAATCACATGCAGCAGACAAAGAAAGTACAAAGACGCACATGCTCGTGATGCTCTCTTGCAGGGCGTCAACAATGAATGAGGCGTTCTTCGGAAATAACATAGCTACCTCTGTGTATTTCCATGATGAGCGAGATAGAATGCAGGGGTATATTCTTCCGCCCAAACGTCACCGGTGCGCCTATCTCAAAGTTCGTCGTCCTCGTCATCATCGGACAGGAATATCGTCGGTACCCTCGTTATCTCTGACTTGGCCGTCTTCTCTGCGTTCTCCATTTTTCCCTGTATTTCCCCCACCTCCGCCAATGGCGGCGACTGAACAGGCAGATTCACACTCTCCCCCCTCATCCCGATCCCCTCCTCGCCGCCACCTTCACCCTTCGTAGCAGGATTAGCCTCATTCTTCTTCACCACCTCTCTCTTCCTTACATCACGGTTTCTCTCCGATCCCAGCCCTGACCCCGGACGCGACGTCAACCCCGTGCCTGGTGTCGATTCCTCAGGCTCCTGTCCCTTCACCTTCTCACTACCCTGGTCCGCTCCCTCCCCCTTCACCAGCCGCCCCAGCAGCCTCACCTCTCTCGCGCGGTAAAACGTATCGAGGCAATTGCGCCTCTGCTCCTGTGTCCAGCTCTCGACCACCAGCGCAAACTCAGTGACGTCCGCAAACCCAAGCTCCCTCGCCATCGAGCAGAATTGCCGTCGCATGACCTCCACCGGTGGATTAAACCGCCAGTGCGCGCGCCCCTCCCAGCCACCGCCGCCGCCTGCGACCCCAGTCCTACCCCCAGTGCCACTCCCAGTCCCACGCCCAGTTGTAGCTGTAGTATCGGATGTTGTGCTATGTTGGTGGCGAGGATGATGATCATCACCCTGGCTGTCCGCGAACAACACGCTATCGTCCGCGCCACCGTCTGCTGCCGGAGCGAGTTCCGCGCGGCGCGAGAGCTGGGCCTCCACACGGCTAGTGCCAATAACCTCGGAGTTTTCGTGCGTGTATTCGACCCCCGCCGACGCTAGGATGCCAGCGATGGCGTCGCTCTTGGGCTTAGTGACCCGTCGTGCGCGCACCAGGTCCTCTCGGTTTTCTGCGGTGATGAGCTTCGCGAGCTGACTCATGCCTTGTTCGTCGTCGTCGCCGCCGTCGCTCGGTTCGGGTTTGATCAGCGTGAGTTCGTCATCGTCGTCGTCGTCGGGGGAGCCCTCGTCGGGTTTGGCCATCTTGGCGAGGTCGATGTCGGTGAGGTGGACGCCCGCTTTGGCTTCGGCGATGTTGGTCTTGTTGACAATCTCCCGGAGGACGACCTGGTCGCCGTGGAAGCTGAAGAGGTTGCTGAGACCAAAGATCTCACCCTTTCGAGTACTGTCTTGCTGAACGCCCTTGAAGTAACGCCGCTCGTTGGACGCGTTGTAGCCGATGTTCGCTTGCTGTTGCTTGTAGATCTGGCGCGCGTAGACGATCTCTTCGATGGTCCCCGCTGAGACGAGGCGAAAGACGTCCACGTCGCGGACTTGGCCGATGCGGTACGCGCGATCTTGGGCCTGGAGGTCGTACGCGGGGTTCCAGTGCGGGTCAAAAATCACGACCTTGTTGGCCGACGTGATGTTCAGGCCCACGCCGCCGGCTTTGGTTGAGATAAGGAACACGAACTGCGACGGGTCCGAGTTGAAGTCGTCCACCACCTTCTGGCGTTCTTCGTAACTCAGTGTGCCATCCAAGAAACTCACATTGTAACTCGTATTGTGGAACAGGTGTTGGAGGATACGCAGGAGCCGGACGCTGTGCGAAAAGACGAGGACTTTGTCTCCGTTTTCGTGCCAGAAGCGCAGCAGCTTCTTCAGAATCTTCCACTTCCCGCAAAATTCGGAGTTGGCTAGATTCAGCATGGAGTCTCGGTTTCGATAAAGCTCTTTCCAATCATCGGGAATGCAGGTCTGGAGCGCATTAAGCTCCGAGTTCTGCTTGTCATTTGGATCGGCAGACGACGGGATCAGCAGCGTGATGTGGTTGGATATTTTCTGCAACGTCATGATGCTTGGGAAAACGACATTCATCCACGACTTCCCGTCAGGGAGCGTCTTGTTGCAGCACCAGCCACTCTTGCGACCCGAACCGCAGTCACAGGGCTCGGATGCTGAGTTGACAAACGTGACGTGCTCTCCCTCGAGAAAGTTCTGGTAGGCCTCGCGTTGGATATCAGTAAGAGGACAAAACACGACCTTGTCACTTTTCCTAGGCAGCTGGTGGGCGATGAGCGTCTTCATCCGCCGCAGAAAGAACTCCGGAAGCAGGTTCTGAACTAGCTTCTTGGCCGTCGTCCTGGCAATGCTGAGCTGCTTCAGAGTAGCATCGTGAGACTGGCCGACGGTGAGAGGTTTGGTGATGGTGTTCCCCCACTCCGCCCGAGTCCCGAAATGGCCGGGGTTTGTCCAGTTCAGGAGTGTCCACAGCTCCTCATACTTGTTCTGGATGGCCGTGCCAGTTAGACCAATCCGGCAGAGAGCATTTACGCAGTCCATGGCCTGGGTCGTCTCGGATCTCCGATCCTTAAGAACATGGCACTCATCGGCGACAACGCAGTCCCACTCGACTTCGTTGACAGCCTCGCGCATCTTCTTGTAGGTGGTGTACGTTGTGATCATGATCTCGAGTCGCCCAGCCTTGGCAGCTTGCAGAACATCTTCCTTGCCCGCACCATGGTAGGTATCCACATGCCAATACCCCCAGCGATGCAACTCGTTCTTCCAGTTCTGGATCAACGAGCCAGGGCAAACAATCAAGACGCGGGGATACCACTGATCGCCGGCGCGCCGCATCTTCCTCATCAGCTTCGCATCTCGCTCCCCGGCCGTCTTCCCAAAGGCAGCGGTAAGAAACGCGGCCACCTGCACCGTCTTCCCCAAACCCATATCATCACCCAAAATACAACCCTTCTGATAAACGAACCGCTCATGTAGGAATTTGACGCCCGCAATCTGATAGTCGCGGAGGTACTGGGCAATGGACGCCGGTATGACGCCCGCCGAGTACTCGAGCTCGATATCCTCGTACGGTCGACACGGCTTGATGCCCGTCCTCTCTTCAAACTGCGGCCGCTCGTTGAGCCTCGGCGTCGGGTGCTGGCCGCCGTCATCGTCGGAGAAGTAGATGTCGGAGTAGTCCGGGGGCAGCTTCAAGCCCGCATCGCGCAGTCGCGCCCTGTCCTGGTCAAACTGTTTTCTGCGCTGCAGCAGGTATCCCGGCACGCTGGCATCGGCGAACTCCTCCTGGGCGCTCGACTCGTCGACGTCGTTGACCCAAGCCCGCAAGTCGCCGGCTCGCTTCTTGGACGGTTTGGTTTTGCCGGTGGCGCCCTTCCTCGCCGGTTGCTTTCCTTTGGAAATGGCCCGGCGCTTGGCGGATGGTTGCCGTTTGAGGCTTTCGCCATGGTCGGATTCCTCGTCGGTCCAAGTGACCTTTTCTTCAAAGTCGGTTGTCGCTTTGCGTTTCCCCAGGGTGTTTACATTGGAGGGCGTGTTTCCATCAATCGATGACGCAGTGTCATCGTCATCCAATACCTTGGCTGTTTGAGCCATAATTGGCTTTGCTGCGCATTGCGAATGTGGAGAAATCAAATAATAAACTGGGAAAAGGGCTACAAGAATCCTGATCCCTGGTAGAGAAAGCGCGTGCCGTCGAAGGCAGCAACGCGAGGGCTCATCGTGAACACGTGACTGATTAATTAAATTCGGATAAAATAGGCAGCCACCAACTTCGACCGCACGACTGCTGTGTAGGACAAGAAAAGGTTTGTTATATTAGTATATTTACATGCACACGGCAGGTTGGGAGCATTGCTATGTGCCCTCAGGAACTCCTGGACTCCCAAGCACCCTAGTGCCCGCAGTACCCGCAGTACCCGCTGTGCTCGCACCACCACGCTCAACAACAAGTTCCGTGTCCCCCCTCAAAATCTGCGCCCAGCGTCGGAAAAACTCCGTGTCTGGCCAATCATGCCCGGGTTTCGGCTGTATCAGCCCCGGCGGCAGCAGTGGTGGAGGCGACGATAGTGGCACCAGTCTCGGGGGCGGCAGTGGCGGCGGCACCGACGACCATTCTGAGGCCTCTGGGGCCAGCGCGCCGCCACCAAATTCCCTCAGTAGCGGAACGACCTTGACCAGATTCCGAGACTGCGCGAGCTGGAACGGCGAGAGACCAAGCCAGTTCTTTGCCGAGTGCACCTGGGCGCCCTGCTCCAGGAGCCGTCTCATGAGCCGCAGGCTGCGTGCGCACAACTTGTCGTTGCCCTCGGCGGGGTAGAACTGGCAGGCAAAGTGCAGCGGCGTAGATCCCCGGCCGTCCGTACAATCGACGGTTTGCCTAGGATGTGCGAGGAGTTCCGCCGCGACGCTGTCGTTCGCCGCCCATGCGGCGTGATGGAGAGGGGCCTGGCCGAGGTCGTCACGCGCCATGACATTGGCGCCGCGTTGGATGAGCTCCGCGACGATGTGGTGCTCCGCGCGTGCGGCCGCGACGTGCAGCGGTCTCTCGTTCGCGTCGCTGCTCGCGTTGGGATTGGCCCCGGCATCTAGGAGTCGCCTGGCGGCCGCCAACGTGTTCGGGCACGATTCACGCCAGACGTTTCCCGCGCGGCAGGCCATGTGTAGGGGGGTAGTGCCGAGATTGCTCAGTGCGTCGACTTTTGCTCCATATGATAGTAGAAGATCGATGATGCGGACAACCCCGTTAGGTTCCGCCACCCCTCCGCCAGGGTCCGGGTTACCTTCTTCCGGCAACGGTGGTTCGGGGATGTTGTAGCAAACGACATGTAGGGCTGTGTGGCCATCGTTATCCAAGACATCGCAACGCGCGCCGTTCGTTAGAAGTAGTTCCACCATGTCGTAGTCTGCCGTCTCTGTCACCGCAGCGCTCTTACCCTCACCCGTGCCGAAGCCTCCTCCCAAGTTGTTCGTGCACGCAATATGCAACGCTGCCCGGTGACCCTTATCAAGCGCATTGATGTCTGCATGATGTCGAAGTAGCTCCGAGGCCAACGCGGCGTCCCGCACTGCCACTGCAATGTGCAGAGCTGTCTGACCGAGGAGGTCGCGCCTATCTACCAATGGAACACACTCATCACCATCTAGGTAGAGAATATCTTTCTTGGTTTGAGGTTCCTCCTGGGCTCGAGAGAAGAATGTCTGCAGCAGCGAGACGTCGCGTTTCGCCACCAGGGTATGAAGAAGGGGATGGCCATCCACGTCGTCGTCCTCAAAAAAAATAGACCCAAAATGCCGCAAGAGAAAATCTAGGGCGGTTTTGTTTCGCCTCTTCACCGCCTCCACAGCCGCTGATTTAACCAGTTTCATGTCAGGAAGAGGTTTTAGCATCTCGTTGACAGCCTCAGAGAACCACTGCGTGGACCATTTTGTCATAGGTAGTGCATGGCCCGTACCCAACCGCTTCATGGTGCTCAGCTTGCGGGCCCAAGATAAAAGCTCTTGGTCCGCGGCAAAGTAGAGTAGTCCAGTGTTGAGGGACAAGTCCTCGGCCAAAGCTAACCACCTGGCCCATTGGCCTTTCTGCTGGAAGCGAAGGACAACCGGGCTCGGATCGGCGCCTGCTTTATCAGCCAATTGAGCATGTGTGAAAATCTCGGATACGGCGTAGGAGAGGAGTGCCGGGTAGTCTTCGAGAAGCCGCGTCTGGACCGTCATGGTTTCGTACGGAAGAGACGGGTTCACCGAGATCTGATCGGGGGCCATTTTATACATGGACATCCTCTGTGCAAAGTAATCACGGCCCCAGGCCGCGTCAGATGTCTTTTTGAGTTCTTCAAAGACGGACTCCCCGAGTGGGACATTACGACCGGGCTTGGGCCGTTTGGGAGACCACTGGCCACCCTTGGGCATTATCTCCTGATCGAATCCATAATAGTCGCGCCCTCCTGGAAGACCGACCCTCGCCGAATCATGGCTGTACCTTCCAGCCCGTGCCCCGTAGCTGCTGGAGTGACTGTAAGCGGAGCCAAAGCTTTTAACACTGCCGGAATCCCTACGTCCCCAGCCGCCAGGGGCGTCTCGAGTAGAAGAAAGGTCGGAGTCACTTGACGATGCCCAGGAACCCGCTCTACGCGGGACGGATAAAAATCCCGACCCGGGTCGGGAAACGGGTTTCTTTGGCCCCCTGCGTGCCTCGACGAGCGCATCCAGCTCCTTGATATTGATATAGTCCAGGCAGGTGCCAATGATGGAGAGGTGCCCTCGGGCAACGAATGATTGACTGGGACTCTCGGCAAACAAAGAGGAGCCACCGCCGTGCAAGAAGTATTCCCGTACCGATTCGTGAATTACCTGTACGATGCGGTTCTCGCCCTGGTCGAGTTCCATCGAGCCGGCGCCGGCATAAGCAGAGCTGAGCGCGGAGCCGTCGCTTTGATGATCGCCGACGCTAGATATAATTTCGATCAAACCTTTAGATACCGTCCTGATCTGCTTGACCAACTGGTCGGTGTTTTCCGTGTATTTTTCTGATGTTCGCCATGCGGCGAGAGACTCGGGTGGTTCGGGCTGGATGAAACCAAGGATGTGGTGCCATTCGTAGAGACGGAGGGGCCTGGTCGCCAAAACAACCCATTCAAAAAGCCGGAGAGTGAACTGCCTCAATTCTGGTTCCAGGGCCCGGAGCAGGGACGAGAAAAGGGTCTCTAATTCCTCGGGGATGTTGTCAAGCTCGCCAAGCAAAGCCCGTAAGCTTGTGCCCTCATCCCGTTTCTGGAGTATGTCGTCCACAACCAAGGTCACCCAGAGGAACACGCCAGCCGACTTGTTGATGACGCGGTCCCTGAGAATTTTTCTTTCTGGTTCTGCTTCGGAAATTCCAAGGCCGAGTCTCTGGTCGACATACGTAATGATATCTTGGTTGTTGTGCTGATCCACGGCAATCTCGGGGCAGTTGGTTACTGTGATGGCTGGGAAATGACGGCTTGAAAGACAAACGCTGAGCTCAGTGCCGGCCGCATTGGCAGACTGGGTGATCTCCCTCCAGAAGTAGGCTTGGGACCGCATAGTCTTGGCGTCGCACTCGTCGAGAGCATCAACAAAAATGACGGTCCTCCCCTCCATTTTCGTCGCAAACATGGACTGAAAGAAGGTCTTAAGTTCAGATTCACTGAGGGTGGGTGGCTCGTCTGGGTTCAGGTCACTTTTGGAGGACAGGATCTGGGTGAATCGACGGAGCTGGCCAGGATACCGGGGCAAGAGTTGATACAACAGTGACCGAAAGAGGCCGAGGGGGGAATGCTCCAGATCGCTGCCTTTTGCGTTGAAGAAGAAAGCTGCCGTCCAGTAACCGTATTGCGCTTGCTGAGCTTCCGCCCTCCGAAACGCTGCCTTCATAAGGGTCGATTTCCCTGCGCCGGGCTTGCCCTTCAGCCAGAGAAGGGAGCAATGCTTATCTTGGTTCCGGTCATGAAACCAGTCTTGATACGAGGGCTGCTCAAAGAGCCAAAGCGTCGTTTGCGCGGCAGGCTCCTCCACATTCCGCCCTCGTTCATCCATGCCCGCATACCATAGGGTTCTGAGACTGGACATTTCAGTGGCGCTCAGGCCAAGCTGTCTCTCGCTTCTCGTTCGCGTTGACCGCGCAGACCTCATTGACCTAGCGCTGAGAGATGGTTTATGCCGTTGAATATAGCCGTCGTGGTGGACTTTTTGTTCGTTGAGAGCGACCAGCGATGCATAGATGGAGCCAATTTCCCCGGATAGTTTCAGGTAGTTTGGGTCGTCCGGACCTTTGAATCTGCACATATCCATGTGGTTTGCCTGGATAGTCTCTGCGCGCTCACGGGCGTCACCTATGCACGACGAAGAGTCCGGAACGACCTTGTTGCCCAAAACTGACAAGTTGACACCCGTCAACCCCAGACCCTCCTGGAATGTCTTTACCCGAAAGTCGTACTTGAACCAGAGGGCCGAGAAGGATTCTTGAGCACGTTCAAGATCAGTGGTCCTAAGATTCAGGGCGTTGAGAATGGCATCGTTAGTCTCCATCCTGAAGGTGCTAATGAAGCTCCGGGCCCATTCGCCGAGGGCCGCCAGCTCTGGGCTTCCCCGGTGAGGGGTGCCGAGAAAAACGACGGCCGACGTAGAATCGACTATGTTTTTCGGTCCTTCCTCGGTGGCCATGGCGGATTGGGCGAGCATTTCCTTGACGACCACTCCTCCAAGGCTGTGGGCGATGAAGATTAGGGGCCGGTCAAGCTGCCTTGCCCTAGACAAGGCAAAGAGCAGGTCCTTGGCGTGGGAAAAGACACTGTTCTTATTAGTCGCGGCTTTGACATACTTGGTGACCTTGGTGTCGTAGCCATAAACGAGGACGCGAGACTGGGGACAGTCCTTTGGGAGCAGATCCCGGGGCCAGTAGATGAACGGGTCGGGTCCCGGGGCCTCCCGCCGCTGATCCAGCTCTGCCGGCTGCGGGGACTTGCCATTCGGGGAAGATTTTCGGAGCCGCACGGAGAGCATGGCCCGCAGTGAATCCCTCTTCTTGCCGCGTTGCAATGGCAGAGAAGCCTGCCGTGGGGGCGCCGGTCTGTTGCAGGCCCATGTTGTGAAAGGGTGCCCCTGGAGCCCATGAACGATGATGATGCTAGAGAAGTCATTCGGGGTTTTTTTAGGAACCCTTTAAAAGTACAAAATTTTATTAAAAAAAAGGGGGGGGGGGGGGGGGGGGGAGGAGAGAAGGAGAGAAGGAAGAAAAGAAAATGGCAGAGAAAACGCACTCGACAACGGCGGTTCGTGCACTGCCCTCGGGTTCATGGACTATCGAGAGCCCCGTATCGCTGATTCCATTTGGGTATTGATGTTGTATGGGCATTTCTCGCAGGGCCCCACGCACCAAACTTCATTTTTTTCGTCCAGTGTTAGGATCGACTTTCGAGTCGCGATGAAATGAGGGAAATTGAAACTGGTGACATGTTGACGAAGCTGAGTGACGAACAAGGCTCGCGAGGCACACTCTGAGTGGCGGGGACGAGACGCAGCAAGGCTCATCACGCAGGGGTCTCGGCCCTCCTTTCCTTCTCTCCCGTCATTCAGCCAGGGCAGGAAACAGGAATACACGTGAGCTCGGTATTTAGTTACTGTCGCATCAGGGCGGGTGCAATGCAGGAGGTGTGGTGAGGTGGGTAAGCACGATAAGGTATGTACCTACCTAACCAGTGTGCAAGTAAAAGAATTCTAGGGTACCTTATGTATCCCAATATTTAGTTACACACAACTTAACCTACTTCGTAATTTCTCGTCCGTCGGTCCCGATTACCAACCGCCACGACGTTCCAATTTCCTAGCGACAGCTCGTCACACTGAGCAATCCCCATGTTAAGAGTTAGTCTCAGGGTCGAAATAAGAAACAGCGGGACGGAAGACGGAAGCAGGGAAGGGGTCCCCCCCTTCTTCAGGGTAAGGAAAGGAAACGTGGAAAAGAACAAAAAGAGAAGGAAAAACACTCGCTTCAACAGACGCGATCCAGTCTTGTTAAAACCATAAATAGGCAGGCCATGGTCGGTCGTCGGAGAAGGTCCCCAGCCCCTGCTCCCCCGCGTTCCCGGGTTCATGGTCCCCTGACTCGGCCCGACCCACCGGCCTGTGTCAAGACCGGAAAGGGTTTAGGAGGGCGGCTTTGTTCCGCACTTGCTTCTAACCGAGGCCTGTGATACAAGATCAACGATGGCTTTCGGGAAGGGCGAGGGCGAGGGCGAGAGGCAAGGGCGAGAGCGCGGGTGGAGGTAAAGGCGAGGAGAAGGGCGCTTGTTGAGCACCATGGCTGGCCTTTGTTGGTCTCTCCTATTTGATGATGGGTGGGCATCTCTTCTGTCCCTCTCTTACCTCCGTGATGGTTAGGTATTTATTTCTCTCCTTGCCATCCAGCAGCTTAGTTAGCACACGCTCCGTTACCTATTGTCCCCTCCACTTGTCCAGTAAGTGACCATGGAGCCGTCTAGCTCCAATAGGGGTTTCTTCCAGCAACAACCCGTCATCAAAAACCAGTTTTATGACGATGTTAGCCTCCAACGCATCACAAAGCGTACGCACTTCGTTTTATTAAGCCTTCTTCACCGTTCCCATCTCTCGTCTAAGCGACGAGCCTCCATCATGCTGACCTGGGCAGTGTTCCTCCCCTCCTCTCTCCTCGACCAGATCAGCCCAGAAGCCGGCCAGCTCGGCGATGACGTCCTCTCGCAACAAATCTTCGACTGGGTAACCGACGCCGAACACAATCAGCCCCATCTGCGTGGCTCGGGCCGAGACGCCTTTGGAAAGCCAGTGAGCGAGCTGGTTGTCACAGAGGGCTGGCGAAAGTTGCAAGAGTTCGGCATCCAAAAGGGGTAAGCAGGCCGACGCCAGCCTGGCTTCGTATACAGAGGAAATAATCACTGTCCAACGTGCTCACTGGCCCCGCAGTATCGTCGCGCTCAACTACGACTCCGATTATGGCCCGTACAATCGACTCGTCGAGTTCATCCGCTGCCACCTCTGGGAGGGGTCATGCGCCAACACCCTCTGCCCAGCTGCCATGCAGGACGGTGCTGCTCGGCTTCTCCAGCGTCATCTCTCGAAGGAGACCGGCCTCTCCCCGACCGAACGCCGGGTCTTCCAGAACGCGTTCGACCATCTGACCTCGCGCGACCCAACAAAGGCATGGACTAGTGGGCAGTGGATGACCGAGCGCACCGGCGGTAGTGATGTTCCCAAAACCGAGACCGTGGCCACTTACGACCCCTATCCGGACGTCTCTTCGACTCCTTTTGCCGACGTCGACGAGAAGATCCTCCTCGGCCCTTGGTCCATCTCGGGTTTTAAGTGGTTCTCGTCCGCAACTGACTCCCAGATGACCATCCTCCTCGCCAAAACCGACCCTTCCAAAGGCGTCAGCGCCTACTTCGCCCCGATGCGCAGCCACAACCCTTCCCTCGTCTCCCCGACCGGCATCCGCTGCGGCAGCGAGCTCTACGGCGTGACGATCCAGCGACTCAAGCATAATCTCGGCACGCAGTCCCTCCCGACCGACGAGCTCGAGCTCAACAACATGCGCGGGTGGCTGATCGGCGAAGAGGGCCAGGTCATCCGCGAGATCAACACTATCCTGACGATTACCCGCGTGCACACCACCGTCTCGTCTGTCGGCTACATGAGCCGCGCCCTCGCCGTGTCAAAGGGCTTCGCTCTCATCAGGGAAGTTGGCGTCGTCCGAGAGCGTCGACCTACCGCTCTCCTCCTACCCCCTGCACATGCTGCAACCTCGGCAGCAATCACCAACCCACTACC